CAGCCTTTAACAGTTCAGCTGGGATGCCGCAAATACCCACTGCTTTACCACTCTTCAGCTTGGAGATCGCCTCCCTAACCTCAGCTAGGGAGGGAGGGTCCTCGCTAATGGGTGGGTCCGGAAGAGGAATCACTGCACTACCCACATCCAAGTTAACTGTTGGAGGGCCAACCTGATTCAACTGCTCAAAGTATTCAGCCCAACGCTCCCTCACCGCAACAGGATCTGAGACGATCTGGCCACCCACTAAGCGAACTGTAGTCACCTGTGAAGAGGGCTTGGAGTTCAGTTTTCTCAGGGCTTGGTATGCAGGACGAAGGTCATTTACTAAGAAAGGGTCTTCAGCCTCTTCAGCAAGATTCCTAATAAACTGTTCCTTGTCCCTTCTTAACAGAGACCGAGTTCTGCGCACCTGAGAATGGTGCAAATCCCGATCCCCTGCCAGACGAGCCGCACGGCAAGCATCAGTGGCTTCCAGTGTCTCTTGAGAGATTGAATTCTGTCTTGCTCTTGGGCGTTCTCCAATCGATTCTTGGGCTGCATCAAGCGTTTCATGCTTGAAGGTGTCCCACAGAAGTACAGGGTCCGTCATTTTGTCAAGCGCTGTGAACCGATCAGAGATTGTCTCAGCAAACCTCCGAGCACACTCCCTCTCCTTCAGCCTGTCCAGATGAAACACTAGGGTCATTGGGCCGCTGGGAAGTTTTGAAGTGTACCCAGAGGGTAGCCACAACCAATCTATGGTCAGTACCACAGAACTCAGCACTCCTGTACACCCTGCAGTTCTGGAGGATCCTCCAACGAGTGCTAACGAGAATGTGGTCGATCTCCTTGGTTGCATTACCCGCATCGCTGTACCATGTCCAACGATGTGGGTCTGGGCGCTGGTACCAGGAGCCAGAAATCCTCAATTTCTGGGATCTAGCAAAATCCCGGAAAAGGAGGGAATTCTCGCTGCCGGTATCAACTCCCGAACCATGAGGACCAACTGACATCTCATAGCCAGCTCGATCGCAGCCAGATACCACATTGAAGTCACCCAGAACAATACGAATATCTCGCCGGGGACAACTGTCTACCACGGATGCAAGTTTGGCGTAGAACATCTCTTTCACATCCAGTTTACAAACATCGGTAGGAGCGTACACAGCAATAAGAGACATGAAGCCCAAAGACAGCTTCAGTCTCATTACCATTATACGCTCATCGACTGGAGTGACCTCTACCACCAAGGGCTGGAGCCTACCGGAGACAGCTATGGCTACTCCCTGGAGATGGTGACCATCCCTGCGGCCTGACCAGTAATAGGTGTAGCCACCTACACTGGTCGTGCTGCTGCCAGGTCTCACCTCCGAGAGAGCAGCCACCCCCACTCTCAGCCTCCCCAGTTCCCTCGATAGCAGGGGTAACCGATCATCCTGATGTAAAGAGCGGACGTTCCAAGCCCCCACCCTGACTTCCCACCTGAGGTTAACCCTCGGGTAGTCGCTCTGGGTGGACGCCACCTCTGCCATCCCCGCCGACACTGCCCCACGTAAAAGGCAGTAGGCTGCGGGATCCTTCATCCACCTGTGGGGTTCCCTAGGGCTTTGCCCCACAAGCTTCATATTGGGCTGGCGGCTGCCAGGACGCAGGCAGGACGAGGAGCTCCCGTTCCTATTCCGCGCCCTAGCAGCCACCCTCCCAACGGGGCCCACAGCCCGCCTCTCTCGCTGGGTAGGAGGGACATTACCCCTCCCCCCAGCATTTCCAATTAAGTGTAACACTGCCAGTGGGTTATTCTCTGGGGGAAGGAGGACTGGCAAGGCCCACCTCCCCCAAGCCTCCCATTGATCCCAGGGGGCTTAGGGGCAGGAGTTAGTACAGGGCCAGGGCGTGTCCACACGCCGGTGGGCCATGACCCTGTACCTCTGGAGCCTCCTGCTGCTCCGAGATCCCCTACAGTTCAGCCTGGGACCGCAAGGTGCCAGTTTCCATGGGAGGCCACGAGGAGGCACTGCAGAAGTCTCAATGATGGAGAGGCTATGAACTGGCAGGGGAGACTTATGCAGCGCTGCTCCCTTTTTCGCACAGGCTAGCCAGTGGTGGCAGCTGTAAGCGGGAAGGCATGCAAGCACTTAACACTAACTAGACAACCACACCATCTCTTCACACCACCCTGCACATGAAGCACCCACCCATTTATCTTATGTCTATATGCATATTTAGCACAACATGATAAAGATACACTGTGACGTCCATGGCGCAGCTGAGGATGTGACGGGAAAAGGGCAAGCATCGAAAACACACTGATTAAAGCGCATTTATGTTCACTCTTTCTGTTTTGTTTGCTCGGTTCCGTGTGGCTTATCTGGTTCGTTCAGCAGAAGTGCTCGGGTGCAGAATAGCAGCCGACAACCTACACAGCCATAGTACCATTATAGCATTGTGATTGAAATACTGATACACCGTGTGTGTTCGTGCCAGCAAAACCCTGCGATAGACTGAGCCAGCGCCAGACAGTTCCCGGCATCTAACGCTGGAGCAGGTCAAGATGGCCAAGTCGCACCTGCAGTAGTGTGTGCGCTGAGAGACAGACGGGACGGGGGGGGGGGGTGGAGGGAAAAATCGGCTAGGAACGGAACTCAGGTGGTCACGCGGCCCCTAATGGAAAGGTGTACGATTGTGTTTCGCAGGTAGGAGCGGTAAAGACACTGCATCACAAAATAAGCGTGAGGATTAAGACAAGCGACCACATCTTGACAGTTCCTCACCCGCAAGCTGAGGTAAGTCCTGAATTCACGTCCTTCTACGTGTAATAGAAATAAGCAGAATGTGGAATAAGTAGACTGACAATCTTCCTTAACACCATAGTTGATCCAGTAAATTACAAAAGCAAAATCGCGACACTCTCCGTGACCCACCGTAACCTAATGGTTCCTTTGACTGTCCCAGGTCAGCAGCTCTGCCTTTGTCGGCAGCCAGCCACTAGTCCTGTGCTCAGAGGAGCCCCTGTCGCCGGCGGAACCTTCCCTCAGACGCCAAACACATAAGTCGCGTGAGATGGCCGCCCGTTCCATGATACCAAAACCATTCTCCGGACGCAACGCAGACCAGAAGTTAGAACATTCTTCAGAGCTTCGGAAGAACCTCGGTGAAGACCTGGATACCCGAGATCTGAGGGGTGTTCGTCGTCATAAGGGCCATTGTAGCATCTGCAATTCCCAACACCACGCGGTAAGTGGCGCAGAAGGGAAATATTTGTGCAATGTATGTTTGCCCAGTAATAGTGTCAGAGATCAGGATTCATAACCATTATTATCTTTTATTAAAAACTAAAACATTTATTATCGTCACTATTAGGCCGTGAGAGCATTGAGCAGTAGTCTCCATTCTAAATGATACCCAGGCCATTCCTGTCTCATAGATCAACTCTGAGAAGGCTTCATACCAGAGAAAGATTCACCATTTTGAACTGAAATTACCCGTGAAAAACGGAGCTTTTTATCTGAGGCTATAAACTGTATTCCTAATCATTTCGACAACGAGGTAAACCCATATTATTCAACAAAATCAAATCTGCGACTATGATAAAGTGTTCCACTCTCTCCTAAGTTCTGTTTCACGACGGCGCAATCACCGGGCGGCTACGGTGAGCGCACAGGCAGCCACAACGGACTTCTAGGATGTGACCGCATGGAGCTCCTTGCTTCATCACAGCTGACCGAGGTGTGTATGAGTCTCTCTCTCTTCTCTCTCTCTCTCTCCTATCTCTCTCTCTCTCTCTCTCTCTCTCTCTCTCTCTCTCTCTCTCTCCTCTCCCTCCCCCCTCTCCTCCCTCCCTCCTTCCCTCTCTCTCTCTCTCTCTCTCTCTCTCTCTCTCTCTCTCTCTCTCTCTCTCTCTCTCTCTCTCTCTCTCTATATATATATTATATATATATATATATATATATATATATATCTCTTCTCTCTCTATCTCTCTCTCCTCTCTCTATCTCTCTCTCTCTCTCTCCCTCTCTCTCTCTCCTCTTCTCTCTCTTCTCTTCTCTCTCTCTCTCTCTCTCTCTCTCTCTCTCTCTCTCTCTCTCTCTCTCTCTCTCCTCTCTCTCTCTCTCTCTCCTCTCTTTATTTCTCCCTCTCTATATCTACCTGTGTGGCTGATATGCATGCTCTGTCCCTTACACAGATTGCCTTGAAGCCTTCAGTGAAAGAGCTGCTGAGGACGCCCATCAATAGTCCAGTAATGGCCTCCCGTTTGGGCTACGTCGGCGCCTCATCGTCACCCAGCCTTCGTTGCGCCGTCGATTGCGCTCAAAGGAGCCAAGGCATTTCCCGCCATGTGTGCGAGGGCGCGGGCGTTCCGTTGAATGGGCAGAACAGGGACGCAAGAACCGAGGGCATCGTGGGACGGGACAGCGACCCTGGCTGCCGACCCGACGGAGACACCGCGCCAGAGAAAAACTACGCCCTCCAGTTCGGACTTGATGGAAACCGAGGCGGCGAACTTGAGGGCACAGGGAAGGCAGAGGAAGGACGGCGTGGAAAATGGAGACCCGGACTTTCCTGCAAGAGATTCAAGCGGCAGAAAGCAGGCCGGCCGAGAGAGCTGATGGCGGACGAGGCCAAGGCGCAGCAGGGGGGAAGGGAGACGGAGGGACACTTGGGGCGTCCACCCAGGAAAACGGCGATGGCTGACGTGAGTTTGAGTGTGGCAATTCTGATGTCTTGGAATTACTTTCTGGGGTAACACTGATTTTCTACCTTTATTATAGTTGTTTGCTGGATACATTGAGTTTCGCCAAAATGACCTGGATTTTTTCAGCTTGTCAGGTGCATGTAATATCTGAAGCAACTCATTGCTATTTTCAAAATACACCACGCCATTGATAATCTCATTCAACACATGAGCTGTTTGTAATAAGAGACATAACCAAAAGAAAAAAATGACGTTTGCATTGATTACCACGGAGAAATTATCTCGTTTGCATTCAATAGTGTTTTTCTGTCTTAACATATAGTCA